CTGCAGGTTGAGGACGCAAATCGAAGATGGAAATGGTTTCACGCATCACAACGTTTAGCAATTATAATTACATTTTCGTATTTATATATTTATTGGATCTTTGACTTAAATGATTTGACAGAGATTACTTTGCATATAGTCAGATTGATAAACCATATCTTCTGCAGTCTGTGCCTGCTACGATTGCAGCTTCTGCAGGGCCAAGAAATAGCTGAATTGATCAATCGATTTCTGAAACTTTCCCATCGAGTTCAAGACATTTGCCACCATCAAAATCAGAAGCCAAAACGAATTGGTTTCGGAGGAAAACAAGAGCTAATATTATTATCAATAATGATGATTGGTATAATTCACGAGAATATCTTCATAATCAGCATATTTCAAATAGTAAAGGGACATCCCTATCTTTTTGGCTGGATATTGGAGGTCTTCATCTCAATTGGCAATATATTGTTGATGCATTTTTTCTTTTTGTGGTACTTGGCTTTGGGACTGCAATACGCCGATTTGAATGAATATGTTCGAACCGAAATGCGATCACAATTGGAGACCCTGGAAGCAAAACCCACTCGTAAGAAATTGAGAGAAGCCCGTATGACTCTGGACAAGTGTCTGAAAATTCATCAGGATCTACTTTCTCTGACATCACAGTTCCAAAGGATATACGATCTAATATTCTGTCTGTCACTCATTTACAATTGCACTGAAGTTGCTGTGTTTTCCTATAAAATAGTGGTCCAGTTGGAGCTTGATTGGTTTTTTGTGTGGTCTGAAACTGTCTTTAAGATTTTGAATATGTTAATTCTGTGCTTAGCGGTGCAAAGAGCAATGCTTCAGTTTAAAGTTATTCGGGGATTGATGTTGGAGAACTGCTATCTGAGTGACAATAAGGATTGGCATAGAACTGTAAGTAAACAGAACAGAAAATGTAAAATTCTTTGGTAATTCTTCAGTTTAATATTCTCCATAGCTTGACATGTTCCTTACCCATCTGACTCTTCATGAACTTCGAGTATGTCCACTGGGATTATTCAAAGTTTCTAATGAGCTGCTTTTGGTATTCCTTTCTGCCTTAGTCAACTATTTTACTGTCGTCATTCAATATGGACTGCAACAGAGTGTGGTTTCCCGAACCCTTGAAAAGCTTAATTCTGTTAATTCTTCATTAAACTCATAAATTATAATGCTTACTTATACGAATTTGTTAGGATATACTCAAATAAATCATACTACTAGATACTACAAAAATAAATCATCATTAGACATAGACATGTTTTATAGTATTACTTCTTTGACTTACAATGAAATATAATAACTTTTTCATACGAGCATATTTCATTTAAGTAAATTTAATTACTTTTATTTAAACATGACCTCCTTTAATCGAATTTTTCCATCCTGGTTGAGTCACACCCCAATGGAAATGCACCTCTACAATCAGTAATATCTTTCATCACCTGTCGCAAACTTAATTGACAGTCCTCAAGGAGCCAGTGTTAAGCTGCCATTAAGTAAATGCATTTCAAGAGATTTCGATTAGCTCAAAATATTCACTCTATTGTTCATTTCAATTCAGACTCAAAGTAATCAAGTCATGTTCGATTTTCGTAAATTGAGTGCATCCAAAGTATCCGCCGGAATTCTGCGTGGAATATTTCTATTTTCCGGATACACGGGAATGGTGTTCTTTCGCTTTAAGGAGGACCATGTTGTGGCCATTAATCGGTCATGGTGGAAGGAAGGCTTATCACTTTTTATCCGAATTATTCCACTTGGAATTCATATCTATACGTACTTCATGTGGATTATGAGAAGCGAAATATGTGTTGAGAAAATGCTGCATTTTATGCGACTTTTATTATCGATTCCCTGTTATTTGGCAATGATTCACATACAACTTTTTCATGGTCCAAAGGTGATTAAGTTAATCAATCAGTATCTGGAAATAGTACGTGAAGTGAGAATGATTTCCATAAGGATAAGAATTGAATTTGGAGGCAGACGAGAGTTTTTCATGACCCTCCTTTTGTTGGCCTGTCAACTTGAGGATATTGTGTATCTTTTTGGATTATTACGTAGGAACGACAATATTATCAGCTGGGCTGCCTACATTGTCGTCTTCATTTCCAGTAATATGATCCTTCACATCAGCTTTATATGGTACCTCAGTTTGGGTCTACTCTATAAAGAGTTGAATGAATACCTTCGTCTAGAGATTAGAAAACAATTTGAGTTCTTACAAAATCAACCAAGATATCAGCCTTTATATAAACAGTTGAGACTTATAAGAAAACTTAGAAAAATAATAAATATTTTTAGGGATATTTATTATGTGGTCAGTTCTCTACAGAAAATTACCAATATTCATTTATTTTTGGGCCTTACTCAAACCATTTTGTTTTTAATTGTTGTATCCTATAAAATGATAGTTGACCTAAACTTTTGCCAGTTTTGGGTGTGGTTTTTGTTTGTTAAGATAATGCTTTACGTTTTAATTATTACTTTGGCCATTCAAGGAGCTGTTGATCAGTTTAGTTATATACGGAAAATCCTTTTAGAGATTTTCTTTATTTCTGATTTAAAGGAATGGAAGAAAACGGTTGGTAAAACATGATTTGTTTGAATTTAAATAATGTATATTATTTTATATTTTAGGTTGAGATATTTATCATGCATCTGAATCTTTGCAAATTGAGAGTCCGTTTATTGGGTCTTTTTGATGTTACCAATGAGTTATTTCTTGTAATTGTATCTGGCATTTTTTGCTATCTTATTTTTATTGTACAATCAGTAATGCAGTTACAAAATGTATAAAACAAGTTTATTGAGAAATATATTATAAATAAAACTATATATATTAACATATAAACTCAATTTCCGTTTATTCTTTTATTACAATTTAAGATCTTGGAAAAGTTATCAAGGAAAAGAGTTTCTTTTATTTGCTTTCTAAAAACTTTCTAATGGATTACATGCATTCCAGGATAATGTCACTACTTCTTTTCTCCCCCGACAGTTTATGATCTAATCGCTATTTACCTTAAGCTGTCATTAATGAAATGCACTTCGAGTGCCATCTTCTAGAGCAATTATTTTTTTCATTTCAAGACAAGTTAAAACCAAAAACAGTCGGTCATGTTAAAGTCCCTTCGTGAGATGAGTATTTCTAAATTTTCCGCCGGAATCCTTGTTGGGATTTTCCACTACTTTCAACTTATGGGAGTAATTTCCTTTCGACTCATCCAAAGTGAGGATGGTTATACGGTTTCCAATCAAAAATGGCTCAAATGGATCAGTGCTATTAATCGAATATCCAGCCTTTGTGGTTATATTTATTTTTTGGGAACGGTCGAACTTTCGCTTCGTAATCAAATCATGCAGATTCTTCATGGCATTCGATTGACTGTGAGCATTCCCAACTCATTGTTAATAATGGGATATCAGTTTTTTCGTGGTCCCGATATGATGCAATTGGTTAATAGATTTTTACGTCTTTTTCGTAAAGTGAGAAATCTAAATAAATCAAAACGATGTGGTTTTGGAGGTCGGCGAGAATTGGTTTTGATACTTTTGAAAGTTACCTGTTTGGGGCATGAGTTTGCCTATCAGTGGTTTATGGATAAACGTCGTTACACCTGGGAATTCTTAATGGAGTGGCTTTGCAATACCTATGTTATCTCTGGTACCAATGTCTTTATGCATATTTATTGCCTGGCTTATGTCACTCTGGGTCTCCTCTGCACTGAGGTGAATGAGTATGCTCGTCATGACTTGGCAGCCCAACTTGAAAATTTAAATCCTCCGATTAGTCGAAGAAAACGAAGAAAAGCTAGATGTCAATTGGAAAATTGCCTTGCTCTCTACACGGAAATACATGCTGTGAATATTGCATTTCAAGAATTCTTTAAAATTCCCATTGTTGTGGCATTCGCTCAAAAGGCTTTAATGGTGGCTGTCATTGGCTATAGAGTAATCATAATTCCGATGCATAGCATCTATGAATTGTGGGCACTTGTGGCTAAGCATGTTTTGGATTTACTTCTAATGACCTTGTCCGTCCAGGGGGCAATGGATCAGTTTAAGGTCATTCGTCGGCTTAATTTGGAGGTTTATCCTGTCAGTGATCTGACCGAATTCCATACTATGGTAAGTTACAGGAAATTCTAGAGGTTTTGTTGATTGAATTCGAAAATATATATCAAGTTGCTGAAGGTTTTTTTTATTGATTTATTGGAACGTTAAGTTATCTATTTATTAATATACAATTAAAATATACACAATTTCTATCATTGCTGCAGTTTTGCAGACTCTGCCTTTAATTGACCCGCTTTTATAGAGTATTTATGAATTTATTTGACAAATCCTGAACGTTTTTATTAGTCAATCTTTAACTTACCTATTATTTTTTACAGTTGGAAGTATTTTATACCCATTTGAATTTGTATCAGTTTCGTGTACGAATTTGGGGGCTTTGTGATGTCTCCAATGAATTGTTCATTATATATATATCAGCTTCGGTTACTTGGATGGTTTTCATAGCGCAATATACAATGCAGATGAAGAATGTTTAAATAAAAATAAAGAAAAATTAAGAGCAAGAAATACTTAAAAGGGAATCAGGAAAAGAAAATGAAAAATAATATACTAATACAGATACTTATTTATATACAGAGATATATACTTTTATAGGAACTTATTTATGTACTAATTATATACCTATTTCTATACTTATTTATATATTAATTTATATACTTATTTATATCCTATTTGTTATAATAAGTTATATACTAATCTCTCAACGTATGTTAGAAATGTCAATGTAATTATTTACCCGCTTAGTCACCGAGAAAATCCTATCTAATTAACATAACAACTTTGTATTGACTTGAGACAACATTAACAAAATATTGATGTACTTACTAAATAAATAAATATGTTCGAAATGGAATTAATTTCCCAAAAATAAGCTTGGTCTCTGGATTGAAGTACCGTCTTCAGTCATGTTCCAACGCCTAAGAAAGTTAAGTCTGTCGGGTCTTTCGGCTTATATCCTTTTCTATAGCTACCACTATGCCCGAGTCCTGGGTGTGGTTTGCTTCAGGATCGACAAGAGGAGAACCGAAGAATCCATGGTGGTTCGAAAGCAACATCAATTGAAATGGTTCAGCCTGAGTTTGAGACTCATCTGCTCCACGGCTGTATGCTGCTTCTGTGCTCCTCATGTTGCTGAAATTGATGATCCTTACGAGTACTTTATGCAATGCCTTCGCCTGATGTCCAGCTTCTTGTGCTCCATTTGCATTGTGGTGGTTCAAATGGGCTACGAACATGAGCTCCTCCGGATGATGAATAATTTTATGCGACTCTTTCGACGCATTCGCCGTATGTGGTGTCAGAAAAAGTTCGGTTTCGGTGGGAAAAGAGAGTTTTTCCTGCTATTTATGAAATCCGTTTGCTTGGTCTATGAACTGTACTGTGAGTTGAGACAACTGGCGGATTCCCCCCATTTTTTGGCTTTTGTCACGATGATATGTGAGATATTCTTGGAGATTGGTTCTTTGATGTTCTTACATATCGGTTTTTTGGGTTATCTCACTGTGGCTGCTTTGTATTCCGAGGTGAATAGCTTGGTGCGTGTGGAGTTGCGTCGCCAGTTGAGATCCTTGGAGCGTCCTGGGGGTGGTCCTGTCACACGGCGACATCTCCGGATAGTTGAGTGTCGCCTGGACGAGTGCATATCGATATATGATGAGATCGAACGAGTTGGTCACTCCTTTCATTGCCTCTTGGAGCTGCCCCTTCTCATTATCCTTATAAGCAAAATCTTTGCCACCACTGTTTTATCCTATGAGGTGATCATCCGAGCGGAGCTTTATCCTCACAAGGCAGGGATGTGGGGTCTGGTGGTCAAGAGTTTTGCCGATGTCATACTCCTGACTCTGGCGGTTCACGAGGCTGTGAGTAGTTCCCGGCTAGTGCGACGTTTGAGTCTCGAGAATTGTCCTCTCAGCGATCACAAGGAGTGGCATGTCAAGGTGAGTTAGATGATCAAGTGATCAGTTATCGTATTTAATTTTTTAATTTATTTTCAGTGGGAAATGTTCTTGAGTCGTCTGAACTTCTTTGAGTTTCGTGTGCGGCCTTTGGGATTGTTTGAGGTCTCCAACGAAATGATCTTGCTGTTTTTGTCCAGCATGATCACCTATTTCACCTATGTGGTGCAATATGGGATTCAATCTAATCAATTGTAAAAGAAAATTATAAAATTCTTTATGAAGTTCTATATGTGCGTTATATATTTATATTTCTGTATCTATTATTTAATAGTTTACCAATTATATACCAATTTTTCCTATAATATATAAATAGTTTCGTCATAATCTAATCCTAAGGGCGGGATTACTATAACTACTACTACTATCTTCATCTTTTTTCCCCAATTTATATAGTATAACTCGCCTTGTTATTAGAAAATGAAATCTAGATAGGAGCTCCAACAATTGATTTCACTGACTGGCTGCTCAGTGAATCGTTAAACTAATTACTTAATGGATTAATAATCAAATACTCGCCACACATTTTCCTGCTGGAAATAGTCATGTCGCAAGGTCCTCGCTGCTTGAACGTATCCAGGATATCCGCACTGCTCCTACGCAGTTGCTTCCTTTATGCCACCGTTTTTGGAGTGATTACCTTCAGGATCGAGAGGAAGAAGGAGGACTCTCAATTGGTGGCCAGGGATCGCAAAGGTTACCGGTGGTTTTGTGTGATTACTCGACTCCTGGCCAGCTTCTTTTATGGCTACAGTTATGAGGCCTGGGCAGGACAATATGCCACGGAATGGTATTTGCGTGCTTTCTTCGTCCTGCGGCTGTCAGGATGCCTGATCTGTAGTGTCATTATCCTGGTGATGCAAGTGTGGTTTGCAGAGGACATACTTGGCTTGATCAACACTCATCTGGAGCTCTTTCGACGCTTAAAGTCATTGAGTAAAGGAGAAAGAAATTCTGGATTTGGAGGCAATCATGAGTTGGTTTTATTGTCCTTTAAAGCCATATCCTTGCTCTTTGTTTTCCTGGCCTTTCGTGTGGATTTATCTTCCTGGATTCTGCTGACTATTGCATGTGATTTCTATACCTCCATTAGCACTGGCATGATTATGCATTTTTGCTTTATTGGCTATTTGAGTGTTGGTATCCTTTACAAGGACTTGAATAACTATGTTGATGGTCAATTAAGAGTCCAATTAGGCTCGGTTAGTGGTGATCAGCCCAGTCGAGAAGCCGTTAATAATTTAGACAAGTGCTTGGTTCTTTATGAGGATATCCATCAGGTGGCCCGCCGTTTCCAGAGACTCTTCGATTTGCCTTTATTTCTTACCCTGGCCCAGAGTCTTTCGGCCATGGCCATGGTTTCTTACCATGCCATTTTGCGAAGACAGTATAGCTTTAGTCTCTGGGGTTTGGTAATAAAACTGCTCATAGATGTGGTGCTCTTAACCATGTCAGTTCATGCAGCCATCAGTGGTTCAAGATTGGTGAAGAGGCTGAGTTTGGAGAACTTTTATGTGACTGAGAGCAAGAGTTATCATATGAAGGTAAGGAATAGGATATTACTTTTCTACATCTTTATATATATTTCCCCCCCTTTAGATGGACCTTTTCCTGGGCCGCTTGAATCACCAGGAGTTACGAGTTCGTCCTTTGGGCCTCTTTGAGGTCTCCAATGAGCTGACCTTGTTCTTCCTCTCGGCCATGGTCACCTATTTGACCTTTTTGGTACAGTACGGCATGCAGTCGCGACCAGTTTGATTCCGCGTCACGCTTTGGTTGCGGCTCTGCACCCTCCCAGAGACACACCTGCCCAGAGTTAGCCCACCCGTTCACCTGTCCTGCGGTTGCACGCAAATAAAAAATTACAAAAATAACAATAATGAATAAAAACGGAATTTACAGAATGCAAACGCTAAAATCGGTTGTTGCCAGGAACCAATTCCCAATTTCCGCCTAACCGTTTCTTCCGCTGCAACTTTTCCCATGAAAGTTGGTCGCGGCATTAATTAAACATTCATGCTGACGTCAAGCAGAAAATTTATGCGGCTCTAATGCACAGAGAGAAAATTATTATATTTATATTTAGAGTTTACTTATTTTCATATAAAAAATGTATATTTACTGGCTTATCGATTATTATTGGTTTTAGTTTTGATTAAATATAAATTTTATAATTTTTATGAACGGCAACAAAATTGATATGTTCCTCTTTATTAAGTTTATATTTCATAGGGAAATAATGTATAATTAGGCATATTTAATCTTATTTGAAATATTATCTTTCAATGTCTGGATACTTGTATTTAAAATTGAAAGCAGAAACCTTTCAGAATTTACTTAACATTCAAATTTAAGAATAAAACTCGATACTCGTATGTTAACTATACTCTCTCTATACAAGTTACTGGTAATTTAATAATGTTATTAAGTCCAATATATATTTTTAAAGAGAAAAATAATTATTGTCAAATATATTTAACATTATTTATAATATAAACAAACCATAAATCAAAAGTAAAACAATTTTCCCAAATGATTATCTTTAATTTAAATGTATTTACAGTTTATGTATTTATCAAAATTAAGCATGTTAAAAATACAATTTTTGTAAATAAATTTCTTTTCCCAAATCATTTCTCTCAGTGATAAGATACTGAGACAGAGGAAGAGAACAGCGGACAATTCACGCTAAAAGGCGCATAAAAACAAGGCCGAGGCCGTCGCTCTAATTAGCATAGGTTAGGTGTACAGACCGGGTCCAAAAAAAGAGCCCTAAAGGTGGTAATGCACTTGCCACTGCCTCCGTGCGATGCACTTGTTCTTTACAAACAGGGAAAAAGGTACAGGTAAATGCAAAGGTAAAGGTAAAAAAAAACCCAGTCCAACGACGGTGACGGTAAAGGCGGCGATGGCGATAATAAAAAATCAAATTGCCCCAGAACGAAGACAGGGACTCAGCGATGAGATGAACTTAACTGAACTGAACTGAAGACTATTATCTCGGCGACAGGGAGCAGAATGGAATAATGACCCGATCTGTTATGCTCCTGCTCCTGCTCCTGTTCCTGCTCCTGCTGAGATTGTGCGCCCTTTTCTTGCTTTCCTGGAGTGTTTTTATATACTCTTTTAAAGTAGAGGATATGGATTTGAGGAGAACTTTTGTAAGATAATGTAGGGAGTTAATTTAGAATTTTTAAAATATTTTTAAAACATATTTACATTAAGTTTTTATGCAAAATAGATACATATTCATTATTTTCTTTAACTTTAAAAGCTTAAACAACATTTTCTTTTGACTTTATGTTTTAATATGATGTATTAAATTTATTTATTTAGAAGAGAATGCTATTTATTTAGGCAAAATGTTGTAACAAAGTGTATGGAGTTTATTTAGAATTTCAAGGTATTTGTAATAACATTTTAAAATATATGTAATACATTTTTCTTGAATTTTCAAAATCTTTTTATTATTACAAATGTTTAACATCATATATTCATAATTTCAGTTCTCAAGTTTTATGGTTAAAGTGGACACCCGAATTTAGTTTTTCACTCATATTTCCCCACCTTCATTATTTCTTTGTGCGTGCTGTGTAAAACGGCAAGATAATCATAAAACATAAAACATAGCATTGCTCAAATAATTGTACTTTATAAGGGGGACACCACCGAGTGGAGAAAGAGTTGGCCCATGGGATCTGGTTGGGTTACAGTCATTTTTCCCATGATTGTTCTTCTGCCGTCTGCCTGGGTAATTATGGGTCACTTTTTTACGGAATCCCTATCTCTCTCACTCTCCGCAATTATCATACTTACCTGCAACTATGTTCCAGGTTCCGAAGCTAAAAAGGCATAAAAGCTGGCTGGAATCAAGGTAAACTCAAACTCAAAAAAAATTAATGATGCTTTCAACATTTCACTAGACAAGAACGTGGAGTGCCTGACCGGCCTGCAGGTAGCGGTCTTTGCTGTTTGGTCTTTGCTTTTGGCCAGGCCCAGTCCCAGTCCCAATGCCAGCTGGCCAAAAAGTACAGCTACAGAGAGCTTGAGCCATGGAACGGAAGGAGGAGATTTCATAATCATCATATAACGATGATTATGCCGATGAAAGTTGGGATTTCAATCAGAGAATCAGAGAATCAGAGCGTTAACCGGTAGCAACTTGGTAAATCAGCAGGGAACGAACTCGATCTCGCACTCATTAGCCTTAAGAGCTTTTTGGTTAGCCGGAAACCCCTCAAGAATTGCTAAATTTAAGCCGCTGAACTGTGACTGGGTGTGTTTGCCCCGATGATTGCTATAATTCAGCCCTCGGAAATTGAGTGTCTGAAAGGGTTTTGGGTTAAAACTGAAAACTCCCTCGAAAACCTCATTCCAGGTGATCGACAATGGGAGGCAATTAGCTCTAATTTATTTATTGCTCAATTAGACAAAAGGGCTGCGGGCTATTAGGGCTTGGTGATATTAACAACTTGAGTTTCTTTTTATATTTATTTTATGGTTTGTGGTAGCTAGCTACCTGGTTATAAGGTATTAAAGTCGGTAAAGTACTTACAAGTTTAATATTATGAATGATGAATGTTGGAATATATTCTGAAATAAAAACTTAAACTAGATTTAATATTACTTCATAATTTAAGTTATTCGAATAGATTTCATTAAGCTTATAACATATGGAACTTTATAATTAGTTTTTAGAGTATAAGCTTATAATGTATTGTATCTAACACCTATTTCTGAAGAAACATGATTCTAAATTGTTTAAATTTTATCCGAGTTGATTTAGATGATATAACATCTAGAAATTTATTTATTTACTTCATATATAGCCAGCTCATCACCTGATATCTAATCTGATCTGTGTACACCTGGGTTTGAAAATGTCAAGGTAAGAAGAACAGTACAACTTTGTGTGTGAAAAATGACTCTAGCTGCGAAAAAGTTATGCAATTATGTTTGTGATTATATTATGATTTATTGTTGAGTTGCTTTATGTTTAAAATTACTCGAAGACACATTTTTTCCTTCGCGAAGTTCACTAAGTAAGTTAAGGCTTAAACATGATCAGGGTTAATTAATATACCTATCACATTTTAATATTTTCCCAATGGTAAAACAATATGTTATCCTATGAATATTAATACTATGTTTTAAACTAATTTGTCATTTGTTATTTAAAAAGATTGACCTATTAAAACATGTATAATCATTGCCTTAAACATCGATGTCATTTATATTTTCTCCCCCAATTCCAACTTATTGAATTGATCTTGAAGCACTTAAATAGTAAAAATTAAATATGAAAGCCAAATAGTATATACATACCCTTTCAAAATATATATATTTTTAAGTAATTACTACTGTAATTTTATTTATTGATTTTAATAATAGCTCAGACCCAACTAGAGAGGCAATTACCGGAGGAGTACCGGAGGCGGCACACACAACCTCAATCAATTTGGGTCGCATTCAATCAACCTGCCGTCACGCAGTGCATTGGAATTTTCCATCCTTGGTATGCACACAGCTAAAATCGACTTTATGGCATTCCAATCTGATTCCCCCTTGGAACCCAACCCCCTCTCAGGCAGCCAGTGGCGGTGGGTTGTCAATTTTATTCATGGCACTAATTAAAAATGGCACATTATTGCAATTGCGGCCCAACCTTTTCTAGGCGCGTTGCCATCTAAGCACACACAGAGACAGAGACACAGTTGTGCATATTCATATTAAGCTGGATCACTTGGAGTGTAATAAAAAAAAACAAATAATGAGAATATTTAATAAAGTGTATTATTATATTTATATATGAATTAAGCAAAGTATAATACGTTTTTTTTAAACAATTTAAATTACTAAATTAAGCAAAGAGAGAAGTTTAGATTTCAGAAAGCAAACAACTTCCAGAAAGGTGAAGTCTTCTTAATTATAAAATCGTATTGGAAATCAATCATATGTAACCTTTTATCTTTTTTTTTAAAATTTAACAAAATTTCGAAAATTAATTTTTTGACCAGGTATAACTAGATCGATGCGACAGTTGATTCTGATCAAGAATATATAAGATTTTTAGGGTCGGAAATGATTTCTTTACCTTATAATAAGCTTCTGACTGAAATTATAATTAATTTATTTAAGTATTTCTTATATAACCTATTTATTTTAAATATTTTGCTATCATCTGATTTCCCCCGTGTTTTCTTGGTTATTTCAAGGCCCATTAAAATGTTGACTCCAGTTTATGTGGCTTAGAAAAATGCATAGACCTATAACTAGAACGATTCACCCTATTCTCCCTCATTTATGTAAATATATATATTTACCATTATGCCCTGTTTATTTGTTCGTGAATATTCTTATTTATATGCAGAAATCAAGTAAAGACAAAACGTTTCGCTGGCGACTGTAAAAGTTGGAGCCCCCAAAGAAATTGGCACGAGCTGAGCACACGTCCCGAGCTGGGAGTTCGAGATGGAGATGGTGAAGGAGTTGGAGTTGGAGATGGAGTTGGAGTTGGAGTCGGGTTTGGAACGGCAGGGCACAGTCTGAGATCTGGTTGGGTTGGCGGCGTACAGTTTCTTGGCTCAGCATTTTACGAGCACACTCACATATGGCAAACTTGGATCGCGAATTGCGAGGGGGAACCCGTTTTTTAATTTTGTTGTTTTTTGTGGGCTGTGTTTTGGGGCGCGTAGGCGCTCGACACGCCCAGTTTGCTCCGAAGTCGAATGATGATTCTGGGATGGGATGCTGGCAGG